ATTCCTGCTACTGAGTCTCTAGGGGCAGTCTCCCCAGTTTTAAATTAAAAAGTAAATTACTGGAATACTTTGGTTAGGATATACCTGTCCTTTATATAGTTGAGCTGCTGAAAAACCCCAACTACACAGCAGTACCAAGCCTAAAACTGGGTATTTTTTGCAGCCCTTAAAATGTAGGGAAGGCAAATACAAATGAGCCCGAACTGTCAGAATATTTCATTAAAGATTATCGAGGGTGCTGGTGGCCTGCTAACACACATCAGTTGCTCGTCCTCTGTGTTAAACTGGAGGAGTTTTAAGCCATCTTTTAAAAATCTCCTTTGTTTGGATCTGGCATTGGCAGCAGTCAATAATCTAAAAGCACGATAAAATTACAAAAATCGTTAAACTTTGTAAGAACTTTTATAAACACACTTGCAGATATTGCACATATCTTCTCTGTGCTCTGCAGTCAAACTGGACAATGAAACGACCACCTGTTAACTGCTAACAATGTGTCATTACCAGTTCTCATGCCTTTTTAAAGCAATTTTGGCTCTAGCTGCCGATAATTCTGGCTACGATACTTGTGTGAACATTAAGGGCACAGAAAGCCAAAGGCAGAAAACTGACAATACAGTTTGTGCTTAGACTACTAATAAGTAAATGAATAATATGATTTTTCTAATTCCACATAATTACTTGATCTCAAGGGGCCAAAGAAAAAAAAAAAGTTCTGAATACATATTTTAGAAGCAATCCAATCTACAGTATTTAAATGCAAGCTTCGATTCCGTGAGATTTCACAGCAGATATTTTCACATTTTTTAATAGTTTAAATAGCCTTTAACAAAATAGAGGTTATTCAGGATTCTCTAAGGTTTGCAAAGAAGCGTAGACTAAGTCTCTGTCATTGCTCATAGTCACTTTTTCTGTTTTGTCTGACAAATTATCATTTAAAGATATGTGCGAAGTCTAAATAAATAAATAAAATTTCCTCAAGTGCTGAGACAGTTTTTGGGCATTTTGCTATTAGCTACAATAGGAGCAGAATGAGGCCCTCGAATCTTGCCATGCTCTCTGTCTTATTTTCCTTCCTCTGAGAAATGCAACCTAATACACAGTACGGAGATATTGGGACAATTTTTCACAAGCTGCATTCAGGCTACTTTATATTTTATAAGAGAAAGAAAAACCTTAAAAAAAAAATCTCCAAGATAATAGGAAAACAACAACAACAACAACAACAACAACAAAGAGCTTTGGTCTGCAAAAAAGAGATTATTTAATGAATCTCTGTATTTGTGTGTGTATGCACGCACGCATGTGTGCATATATTTATGATTGTGTGGATAATTATCGTTAAAAATAGCTATCCTGGGTCTTTTTAGTGCAACTCTTTTCTTGACGTCTAAGGCTGAAACGCGTGCAGGCAAATTCCTATGCAGAGCGTTGGTACCTATAGGTATCTTATACCGGCGTGTGCATTTAACGCTGCTACACGAGCAGCAGCCTGCAAATCTCCTACCAAACAAAGCCGAAAACCAAAGATTTATGAAAGGGTGAAATTAAGAAAAGATGCTGAGTGAGGGAGTCGGGGTCACCGCCAGATCCTGTGTCCTTGCCCACAATATCCTGAACATCTCAGCATGGGCTGGAAAAGGGAAGTCTCAGTGGGGTAAAGCACATCCCTGCTACTTTTAGGTCACTTTTTTAATTGCACTGACAAAAATTAACGTCAATCCCTGGAATTTACCTTCTATAAATTTATCGCTATATCGCTGATCGTCAGCTACAGGGGACGTGTCAGGTCTTTCAGCAATTCAGTGTATAAATATACAACAGGCAAAATTACTCTGGCAATTTGAGGTATTTTACTAAAATGGAAACAAAGCAACTGCAATAGACCATTAGCATAGGACTCATGTTGCTTATTTTTAAAAATAAATGGCTTGAATAAAAGTCTTTGTGGCTAAACAAATTTATTTTGCTTAGGAGAGAATGTCACCCTTTAAAAGTGTGGAGCTAGTAACTGTCTTTACTTAAATGCAAGTTATGTATATCAGCACAGAACACATTCAGCTTTAAAATTCTCAGTGATCTTCCTTACATTCTGGATGTAATAAAAATTATCTTACCCTGTAATGGCATAGTTATTTAAAAAGGAAAGGAAGAAAAAAAGAAAAAATTCAGAAAAGAAAAAAGCCTTACTTAAAGATTTTCTGTGTTCAGGCTTTGGTTCTTTGGATTCAGTGTCTAAGCTATTCAGTAATTCGATGCTGGAGGATCTTCTGAGTTTGAACTCCAAATTTCTCGATGTACAACTCCGCTCTTTTGGCTGAGAAAAGAATATATATACATATTGTGTACGCTTTTAATACCAGTATTATTTTTAAGAATTAAGCAAGAGCTTACAGAGTGCCAGCACAGAATCAGAAGCTAACAGCCACACACACCACAAGTGAGGCAATGAGTATATAATTTAAGGAAAGAGTAATGCAAACTTTGTCATATGGCACAGCTTTTATGGCCCTGACAGACTGATCTTAATTTCTGAGATAAATTCCCATTTAAGTTAGGAAAACAAAAGGCCTGCTTCTTTAGGTTTTAGAGACCAAAATTATTTCCACATTGCAGGCTACTTCCAAGTGCCTGCAAAGAGGAAGGTTGTTTAAATTGCCTCTCTGCTTTGGATAGTTACAGTAAATATTCTGACTGTTTCAAGCATCCTTACAAATCTGGGGGTGAATTGTGCTGGTCTAAGCTTAGGAAAAAGGGGGACATTTCTCTCTCACTCTAATTCACTGGCATATGAAGTGACAATTAGGGACAATCCTGATTCTTTAGGAAAAAAAACCAGAAAACCAACAACAACAACAAAAGAAAAGAAAAAGGATGATATTTGGGCTAATCGTGCATCTCTTCCCATGTCATTCGGTCAGGTGAGATTTAGCTGCCGCAATGGCCTGGATAGTTGCAAGGCTTTACACACTCATTCAGAGTGGTAAAACTGAAATAAATATGATGTATTAAATGGTCACCGAGTGCTTCGTGGTGGCACACAGCAAAGGCAAAGCTTCGCTGGGACGAGCCCTACCCTCCAGTACCCAAATAGGGGGTACAAACTGTGCCCCCTCAGCCACAGCTGCTGTGGTTCGCTGCACGCTCAGAGCTGCTGAAGCCACGATATTACCTTCGTTACTTTAAGAATTCATCAAGTCTATTAGATGTTTAGCTGAATAACATGCCAAAAAAGAAAGAAAAAAAAAAGTATTCTGAGTCTCCACGGAAAACTCCACCCCAAAATCTTCAGTGGGATATCAATATCCTCACACGCCCAATGAAATGCACAATATGAAGACATACATCATCAGATCAAACTTTCCTTGGCTGATTATAGCCTCGGGGTAATATAATGTTTGTAGCTCTTTAAGGAAACAGTAGCCGTGTTCAGATTAACCCTTTCAAAGGGGCTGCCTTTGCCCCTTCCGCCAATGCCATTGCAGCAAAACCTCTGAAAAATGCAAGAAATGGGGATATTTTTCTCTCACCAGGTTCTGCAGCGAACAAGGGAAGTCATTGCCCTCGAAAAAAAAAACCCACGTTCTTGGATCAGGCAGGGATAGGAGGAAGACATTTGGAATTTGTACTGAGAGTGGCAAAAAAGAAAGAAAAAGCTACAGCTGAATCTGGTTTGGTAATTAAAAACTGTTCTAATAAAACGCAGCCCTGCTTACTTCTGGTGGAAAACCCCCAGCCTTCCTGGGAGAATAACAGCAATCAGTTACAAAGGAATATTATTTGCCAGTGTTATTCTTGTGAATAAGTAATACAAAAATTCATAAAAGGCTCAAATGTATTAATAGTTCTATTGAAGATTATATACTGTAGGCTGCATAAACAGAAAATGCAAAAATTCATTAGTTATTAAGTGCTTGTGTGCTTTTACAACCCTCAGCAAACCGACGTCCTTGTTATTTCAGAGAAATAAATGTAGCGTTCCGTTTCGAGGCAAGAATCAAATGACATTTCTGTTCAACAACCTTGTTTATCTGACATTTTTTAGTAGATTTGCATACATATTTTTACATCCTTCAGAGAAAGGAATGTCTAGCTAAGCTGCTGACTGCCATAAACCTGTAGAGATGCCTAAGCAAATGAAGTTGAAATTGCTACGTCTTAATTAATAAAGGTAACAGCCAAAACAAATACATACCAATCTGTCAATTGCATTTTTGATAGCGTGGAACCAATCCAATATGAGAAAGTCGATATCCGACTGGAGCAGGAACTCATTTCCTGACACTGTCGTGATCTGGGGAGGGCATGGACACAGACAGGTAAGTAAAGCGCACACCAAACAGATGATTTTCTTCTATTTTCTCTCCCACGCACCCCAATGCCTGTCTTTTGTACCAAGAATTATCTCCTGGAGTGCTGAGTTACTGAGGAGTTTTGAACCTCTGTCTGGAAACTGTTTTGAATATGTCACAACAAACGAGATATTGTCTCAGCAACGCAACCACTGAACACAAATAGTGCAAAAATAACGGGAATGTGACAAAAGTTGAGAAAAGCCAAGAAACCCAGTCTTACAGGACACAGTTCAAATGGAAATAAAAGCACCCTGAGAAGAAATGAATGCAATATGTGAATTAATTCCTGTTCTTTTCAATTTCCATTTCTATTTTGATACTATTATTTTTATATCTGGTAACTCCCCATTCTTGAATTTACACATTTTTTTATACACCTGCAATTCCAGAGTCCAATTCCAAGTGTTTTGTTAAAATTAATAATGTCACTCTTTTTCACATTAAAAAAAAATAAATACCATCAAAGATGTCTGTAGCGGAGTAATTAGGAGCCCATTTAGAATGAAAAAATATCCCCAGTTTGTCTGAATAGAAGGTGATTTACATTTTTGACCCACTCACTGGGAATATTTATCAAAAGAATATTTATTCCCCTGATAACGCTGCTTCACTGCCTAACGATATTTGGTGGAAATATGCATGCATATTCTGTTGGTCTGAATTTCTGTAAACCATAATAATAATAATGACAATAATAATATTAACAATAATAATATTAATAATAATAATGATGATTATGATGATGATAATATCTTTTTTTAAACATATATATCTTTTCACCAGAGCAGATCACCAGGTATTTTACACAGCCGGCCAAAGTAGCCATTTGACAGATGGCAAAACTGAGGCCCAAAGCTGTGCAGTACTTTGCCCCAGGATTATTCAGCGGATCCATGGTACCTGCAGCCATGGAGCACGATCCAAGGCACAGCAGATCTGTGTGGTTGTAGATAAGTGAATGAGGGTTACACCTTCAACATGTTTTGCAAGACACAGGACCTCATCCTTCCCACGGTCCAAACCCGCTCAGCTCCTGCCAGCTCTGAAACCAAAGCTTTTAACATTTTTCTTGTCCTTTTTGTTGTTGTTGTTGCTAAGAGTTGGTTGTGCAAAACCTGGATGCATCTGCTCGTGGGCATCGCTCACTCAGGTTTCAGTGTTTTGGGGATGCAAGTTTAGTCTGCACATTGGGATTCTCCCTGGGGGTAGGAGCCAAAACCATTCCAGGTCTTTCTCAGGGAGCAGATGAGCACAGTGGTTAACAGAGATTTGTCTCTGACCAAAGCATGAGGAAAAGCAGAGCAAAGCCGTTAAGACCTGGCACAGCCTCGTTATGTAAATCCATCCACCCCAAGTGCTACTGTTTCCCTGCATCTGCCCCATGTCAAGAGTTTTTACTAAATCATAAAAGTAACAACGGATCTTGTCCAGCCCGGGTACTCCCCAAATCTTCCTTAAAACTGAAATACTACCAAGGAGGGGAAAACAAAAGGACCAAACAGTTTAACGTTTTATTAATTGCTCTATAACCCTCCCGTTATTGAGGAAATGCCTGTAAGGAAGGTTTCCAAAGTCATCAGCATTAAGGAAAATCCCGTCAGCGCAGCTCCAGCGGAGACATCCTGTGAGAGCACTGCGGAGAATGTGGGAATGGTCCCCTGGTGCGGGCTCAGAGGCTCCCGGCTGCAGATGTTCATCCCTTCCCATCCGCACCCATCAGGAGCAGACCTCCTGCCACCCAATTGCTCCCCATGTGCATGGAAGAGTTATTTACTGGAGAAATTTTAATTTCCTTATTAGTCTACAGCCATAATGTTAATTACCATTCCCACACTCACCATTCTATGTATCAAAAGGAGAAAAAAGTGAAAATGCAACTTAAGGTGAGCAGTTGAAAGAGCTGACCTCCAGTTCCATGCCTGGCTCACACGACAAGGCTTGGGTTCGAAATGTATTCTATTATATCACAATTTATTAATGTATACGTGCAGATATGAATTAGACTAAACACAGGCAACAATTCAATCTAATGCTTCTCTCCCAGTATAAACAAATCATTATTAAAATTATAAAACGGAATAACATTTTCAAAGTAAGAGCAACATATATAATTAGATTTACTGTATTTTGAAGGCTTAAAAAAAGACACAACATAGTTTAGTCTTCCGTTCAGTAAATTCAGCCTTTATTAAAATACAAGTATTCAGCACTGCATAAACATTTGCACTGTATGATATGCAAAAGAGATACTCCATTGCTAACAAGACCAAAGCAAAATACATGTTGAAAGTTTCTTTGTCTGAATGTGTTAGTTTGATAATCATATATTATCAGTGTTTTATGAGCAAATCTGTAAAAACAGATCATAGAATGGAGGACAGAGAATTCATTTAAAATATACTTTCTGTAAGATACAGTTCAAGTCCTTTTCTTTCTTTCCTCAGACTAATCTTCAGAGTAACTAGACAGTTTCAAGAAGACTGCTACTGCTCTCTACAGTTTAAATGCATCCACTCCTTAATTACAGTCAGTAATTGACTTTGTTCTGCTCCATTCCAGTCATTCACAGGGAAGCAGTTCCAAAGGCTTTGGCTGGTAAATCCCATTTAATGTGCAGGTTTCCTATCCCACTTTTATATATTACCTCCTTAGGATTTCTGATAAATGGTTCTTGGAAGGGATTGCTAAACCATATTTGCACTTTGAACAATCGAATTTTCAACACCCTTGGGAAAAGACATCAGTAAAGAATGCTAGCTTTGACTAAACCTTGTGATTGAACAATTTATGATCACAGCCCTAAATGATGTATAACTAACAACAAGCATAAATTGTTCAATATTAAGGCGTGCTAACACACCGACCATGTATCAAGCACTGCTGAAATAAATAGAGGGACCAGAGAAACAAATGAAAGACAAATCTGGGGGGAAAAAAATTAAAGAATATGAAGTGCTCTAGATAGAGCTGCCAGTTTCCACTGTGCCAGGTACTTCACTTATTTAAATATTTCCTGAAATCCCTCTCCCTTTGCCATCATTTTTGCAAAGGCTACAATCTGGAATTAGCACTACCTTACCAGGCAGAATTGTGATGCTGCTGACGGCAATAAATATCACCAAGGAATGACATCTGACATTAACCCTCTTATTTGCAAAGGGTGTTGCCCTTCAGGTTGCTTACAGCAGAGCCAGGACGCCTGGATTCTCTCTTTCTTGCTATATTACCTTGGAAAAAAAAATCACTTCTAAGGCTGAATCCACTCACACGGTAGTTTTACAATGAACTGTAGCACAAGTCCTGCTGTTAGGCATTGATCCTCTGAAAATATTGGCTCACTGCAGGTAAACGTGTGTTAAATTCAGTGCACTGCTGGGCTGCCAACAAAGCGTGGGAAGCAGGTGAGGAGGCAACTGTGAAACCCTTTTTATTACATTCTCCTTGTGGCTTATTAAGGATTTCTCTTGTCACCTCGTAAAGTTGCAAATTTGGGGGTGAGCTTCTTTTGCAACTCTCCGTAATGGTGTACCAAGGTTGTGTTCAACAAGATCCTATGTCATTAAACACAAAGATGTCTATATAGCTCCAGGAAATAAAGGACACTATCTAATTAACACCATTACCATTTTATAATACATAAATATACATTAGAACCTACCTAGGATCAGTAGTTCTCAAAAATCCTACAAATACACATTTTTCCTGCGCTAGGTTGTGCCATGCATGGCCATGTTCCTCCAGGACTTCCAAACATTTACAGATCACCTGGATCACCTCTTAGAACATGACCCAGAGGTTATTCTCTTTCCTGGCACACCTACACCAATGGAAAACAAGAGATAAAAGCCAGAAAAGTGCCGTGGGATAAGCATAGGCTCTTCTGTCCATAGTCTTCCTGCAAACTTTGGTCTGGGGACTACTGCACTGCTGTGAAAAACCTTCATGGTATCCCTTTAGTTCTTTACCAATACACAATTCTATAGATACATTTATTTCTTACATTTATTTTAGCTGCAGAACAGGGATGGAGGCAATTTTAGCAATCCTACTGATAGGCGCTCTATGGAGATACTGAAAAGGGGGATAAATTCACAGAGCAAAACAAAAATACAAAACCGTATTATTGATTCACTCACTTCAAAGTGTACTTATGCATCTCTGGTGGCTATAACTATTATTTGCAGTGATGAACTATTTTCAGGCAATGCCAAGAACAAACTTTAATACAGGAAGTGAAGAATGCTGTAGGGAAGGAGAAATGCAACAAAAAAAACCCCTTCACAGACTCTACCCTGAAGCTAAAGGGAAGAGAGCGAGCAGCTCAGGAAGGGTAGGGCTCACATATAGCTCAAGTATGGCCACCAAGAAACCACCACACAGTTCTTATTTCAGCCAAATACTGAAACAAGCCATTGTTCAAGTCCTTCTGAATATGGGACTTGGAAAAAAATGCTGGACTATTGGGGAAATGCTTCATATAGCCTACCCCAGTGGTACAGTGTTGGATTATCGGACATTTCTGGGCCATGGAAACCCCACCAACTGCTAATCCAGAGCAGAATCTAGTGCAGGAAACCTAAATTTTGCTGTCACCTGGGAATTTCATAGCTTGTGGTGAACACTAAGTGATTTAAACTTGGATTGACAGATACCTCTGCGTGCAGAAATTCAATAAAACTTGTTCCTCTTGTGCATTGGGATTGCTGCCCTTGATATGTGTAGGAAAAAAGGAAATGTGAGTCGCTGGAGCATTTCTAGCTCAAAAGCTAACACTCTTCCCCCTTCCCACCACTCCCTTCATCTCACCTTGCTTTCTCACAAGAGCGGGGTTTTTTTCTGATCATGTTAATCATCCCAATTCCCCCCAATGAAGAAGAATCTAGGCTTTTCCCTCTATTTTCCCAAGATATTTTTGCAGGATGGGATCTAGCCACCCAGCCCACGCAACACAGGACACGCCACTCTCCATCTGCATTGCAGCCACCAGGGATGGGAAAGGAAAGGTGGGAAGAGTCTCAGAAAGAAAGCAAAAAAAAGAAAGAAGGAAAGAAAAAGAAAAAAGACTAGGAATTTTCTCTCTTTCTAAGTGCTCTTTGAAGAAAAAATATATCATTAGAATATAATATAGCTTGAGAATAAATACATAAAACATAGATACTCATGTGTCCACACCCACAACAGAAGTAGAATTAATTCAAGTTGAGAGACACTATGCTTCTTAGTGGTTTAATTAACTGGGTTTGAATTAAACAGGGACAGAGATATGTTATTTTTTAAACTCATGTCAGAAGTCTAACTGCATTTCTGGAACTTGATCTCAAATTCTTTCTCACAGATAATCCAGTCTCTTGGCCATGTTTATACTGAATGAGTGAGTAGCAGCAAGGATAAATAAAATATCTCTCTGTGCTGTACTACAGAGAGCTGAGAGTCTAAAATTTAAGAAATGCTAATAAAAGAAAACAAAAGAATCAGTATTGAGCTTCATTATATCCATACTGCATCAGATATCCGTTACATGATTCAGCCCATCAAACAGGGGTAGTCATGGTTATGCTGATAGTTAAATTACTTAAAGGACTCTAAGATGTTTATGACTACCAAAGAAATTTCATTATCAAGCAGATTGTCTGTCTCATATTACAGTCTGGCTTTACCAACATAGCAGTCCTTTGGATGTCGAGCAAAGTTAACAGCAAAGTGATGGGGAAATATCAGCTTGAAAGAAAAGGTCTTCAACCAATCTTTCAAAAAAAATGATATTTGTTAAAAAATTTTGTGAGAAAGTATCTGCCTTGTGTTCCCAATGTTGCTAGATGTTAAGTAAATATATGCTGATTGCAAAAAAGTTGCTTTGGCAACTCTCTTATTAAAATGCATTTGTAACCCCCATCT